CCTCATGGAGTTTAGCTCTCTAAGCTTCGGCAGCAGCAGCAGCCTCTGAGAGTTGGACATCTTTGGCCTGGAGCAGCTCTTCAGCAGCCATTCGGCTGGCTTCAAGAGCTTCTAGACGTTGCTGCACTTCAGCTTGTGCAGCAGCTCCTTCCTGAATACGGCTCTCAACAGCAGCCTTGAATTTGGAGACGTCCACTCCCATATGCTCCTGGAGGAATTTTTCCCCTTCCATCAGTGGGGGAAAAACTTCCTTCTCCATAGCGTCGCAGAAGGTTTTGAGGGCTTCAGCAGCTCTTTTCTCATACTCCTCACCCTTCTGCTGCTTCTCTTCAGCTGCTGCTTGCTTCAGCTTAGCAAGCTTTAATTCCTCTTCAGCTACCTTCTTGTCGTGCACAGCAGCGTCTACCCTATCTTGTAGGGTATCTATCAGCTCTACAGTGAGAGTCTGATTGTGTACGAACTGAAAACAGGAAGACAAAAAAAAATAATATAATAATAAATAAAAAAAAAATAGAGCTGAATTTCAGAGGAAATGAAGGCAAGGAAAATTACCTGCATCATCAGCAGTTGGTTAGACCTGGCTGGGTCAGGAACTGATCTGCTGGATTCGCCCATCCCAGCAGTGGCCTTCAGCGACCAGATCCTTGCCCTATCTACTTCGGACATGCCAGCAAAATCGCCGAAGTAGGCTGCAGCTCCTTCTCGGTTCTGACCCCATATGAGGTCTGGGATTGGAATTCGGGGGGCCGAGAAACCCATTTCTCCAGATTGCAGAGTCTGGAAGGAAGGGAAGGATGACGATGGAGCTTGATTAGCTTTGGATGGATCAGCATCATCCTTCTCAGAGGAGTCAATTACTATGACCTCCTCTTCTTCAGGGGTGAGGACGAAAGCCTCAACCTCTCTTGCGATGTCTGTCGTGAAGCCCTCAGCACTGGACATCACGGCATCCTTGTTTTCGTGCTCAGCAGCACTCGCCTTAATTTCTTCTTGGACCGCTCCCTTAGATTCGGGAGTTCTCTGATCCACCTCCATCTCAGGAGGTGGCGGAGGGGTCTTTTGAGGTGATTGGGGTGGTGGCCGGGGAACCCTCGGCGATCCATTGCCTTCCTCGGGTTCCCTTATTGCAACGCCGATGGTCATCGGCCTCCGCTGAAAGTCATGGGGGCCGATGATGGCCATCCTTCGTCGCCTTTTCAGAAGGGGCTGCTCGTCCATATCTGAGTCTGAAGACTCTCTTTGTATTTGGTCTTCGGGACGAACAGGAGCTTTCCCTTCTCTATGTCTGTTACTCTCTTCAGACTGTAACAGACAGGGGGGAGGAAGAATGTGAGTAAAAAAAAAAAAGAAAGAAAAAAGAAAGACAAAGTTGTCTGAAAACTCACCGAGGTTTTCAGCAAAGCCTCGTCTTCTTCAGCTGCTCTAGCTGCAGCTTCTGCTTCAGCAGCTCTGGAGGACCCTTCTCCTCCTTCGCAAGCTTCGAGAACCCGTGCAACCTCTTCGGCTGTACGGGCAGCTTCAGCTTCTTCGTCCAGCAGCTGAAACCAGGGGTCTCTCTTCTTCCACCAAGGCTTCTGCCTCTGATACAGAGCAACAACCTCAATTTGGAAGTGGGAAGAGTCTAGATGAACTTCCCTATGCCTCGGCTCAGTGATAGACGGGGCCCGTTCAGTTACAACTCGTTCTCGGTTGACACCAAGACGAGCGTAGTTAATGCCAACGTTGGTCTCGTCCCGCTCTGAAAAAGGAAAGGGGAAAGGTTAGTTCAGATAGGTTGGCACAACATGAAAAAGCGAAGCGAGAGAAGAAAAAGAGATAGTTAAAAAGCCTCGGCCCCAGCCGAAGAAGCTTACCATCCTTAAACTTTCGGCTGAGGCCAACAGCTGCTAGCATGTTCTCTTGGAAAACGTAATGCGTATCGGGGAGCCAAGTCTCCGGGATATGCTGCATTCGGCCACTGCCCCCCCGGTTCGGCAGCTTGCCGAAGATATGTTGCTGATCAAGGTTCGGATCCACCCCGTTATCTGCGGGGGGACCTAGACTTCCCATTTCGGGATCAGGCTCAGCGAGGTACCGGGGAGCGCTGAAGACGCAAGGGTGGCCCGGATCTGTGGGTGCCCTAACCCAAATCCATTGACCTCTCCAGTCCTTGTCTGAAGATTCGTTTGGCCACATGGTTAGGTATTGGGGCCGGGACTCAATCCGGTACCACCCAGAACCATGGCTTCCGTGCCCACTTTGAATATTTGGCACTAGCCGATGGAGCTTTTTGAAGCAGTGCAGGTTCGGCACATACTTGAAGAACTTGCAGACCCATAAGTATGTCATCACCCTTCGGATGCTGGTGGGAGTTAACTGACATAGAGAGATGTTGTAATGGATCAGCAAGTCTCGGACGAATACGTCCAAAGGGAACCTCAGCCCGTACTGAAGCTGTCTTGTGTACACCCCCACATACCCCGGGGGTGGACGATGGATTCTATCGGATGCCGAGGGCATTCGGCACCAATACCCATCAGCTTCAAAAATGCCGTAATGCAACTCAATTTGCTCGGCAAATCGATATTGATCGGCATTCTCCACCCACCATGGGTAGGGGCGGTTCTTTATCATGGCCGAAGCAACTTCGGCATTCTCCCATTCTGAAAACCCGGGGAGGATATCCCAAAGGACAGCGGGAACTTCATCATCCCGTCCAGAAGCGCTCGGCTCCTCCGTTCTCTGAGGAGGAGCCGAGGAAAGGGGAGTCGCCCTAATCCCTTCAGCAGGGTCAGACTCTGGCCTTTGTCCATTCCAGGTCCCAATCCTGTTCCTAGGATCGGGAATCGGCCTTGCTCTTCTTGGAGCACGGGCTCTACCTCTAACTCCTCTTGCCATTGATTATTTCGAAGAAAAAAGTCGAAAGAAAAGGGGAAGGAGTTCGAATTCGAAGAAAAATAAACTGAAATCAAAGGAATTTACCTTAATCTGAAGCAAAAGTTGCCGATTTACGAGTTCGTAGTGGCAAGTCTCAGTTTCTAAGCTTAATGCTCGGGGAATTTGCGAAGTTTTGATGCGGGTTCTTGGTTTCTCTCTCGAGAATTCTGGGTTTGTGTTGGTGAATAAGTGAGGAGAGATGACGCGCCTCTGTTTATATCTCCAGGTATGGGATACGAGGAGTCTGCGTTTTAATTTCTCTTAAATACTCCACTAAGTAACCGTTAAACACATGATCTTGTGATTAAACTGCCCATTATCCGTCCAACTTCCACAATCATCTGCCTTAACCGTTGTTATCTCATTAATTACGGTTTAAATTCAAATTTTTGGATTAATTAAATCATTTACTTCCCTCCTTTTCTGAATTAAATCAAACCCGACCGTCATCCTTCCAAATCGGGTCTGGGGGGCAAGTTGTTTGGGTCCAATTTAGTCCAATTGGGCCTAAGCACTAAATGATCCAATTAAAAGCCCAAGGTCAAGGTTCAACTCTCCAATTGTGCTAAAGTCAAAGGTCAGCCCACAAAGCAAACCAATTGGGCTAAAGCCCAACCTCTCCATGTATGATGAGGTATAAAAGCCATCATATTGATACATTCATGAGGGATTGATTCTGATTCATTCATAGATTCATATGTTCATTCATATATTCTGATATATTCCATAAAAGCCTCAAGCAACAAACTCTCTTGCATAGTGTCCTCTTCTTACACATTGTACTGACTTTAGCATCGGAGGGGCCTTCCTCGGCAACACCCCCGAGGCTAGTTTACGTGTGTTTACTGTGCAGGAAACCTTGGGCCCAACATAACTTGGACCGAATCCAGCCTTCTCCATTTCAGCGGACCTTCGGCAAGGTCCCATTGTTTTCACCCGAAACAACATTAAAGTATGGACTAATCCTTGGATTTTTGATGATCGAAAAGTTGTGTATCCTACTCCAAATAGCACAAGTGATTTGGGGTTGAGGGTAAGTGAGCGGATGGTGGAAGGGGTTGGGGCGTGGAATAGAGAACTAATTAACAATATGTTCCCTAATGACACTAGTGCAGCGATCCTTGTCACCCCTTTATCTAGCAGAAGCCCTGTAGATTTGCTGTTCTGGGTTTATACGAAGGATGGAGTCTTTACTGTCAAATGGTGCTACTGGCTTGCACGAACTGGTGGGCTGATGCAGGGTGACACTAACGTAGAAAATACCAAGTTGTGGAGAGGATTATGGCATTGAGAGCTCCCCTAAAACTACAATGTTTCATATGGAGTGCGTGCAAGGGTAACTTGGCCATGAAAAAACGTCTTGTGCACAGACATGTCACTGAGGATGAAACATGCCAGGTATGTGGTGCTGGAAATGAGACTATAATTCATGCACTCTTTCATTGTGAGGCTGCTGCTGAAATTTGGAGACATAGCAACTTGGTGAATCTACTAGTTGGTGCACTTGCTGATTCTTTTAAGAAGATATGGAACTAGTTCGCAAGCAGAGTGAAAGCGAAGGAGCTGAGATCGATGGGGGCCTTAATGTGGGCAGCCTGGTTCCGCAGAAATAAGGTGGTTTTTAGTAATGAGAGAGCAAATGTGGTCCTTGTTGTTGCAGGATTTGCGAGGTTGGTGGATGAATATTGCGAGTATGTAAAGAAGGTGGGATGCTTACCTGCTGCGGGGCGCATTAATAGGGTAGCTAGTAATGCCGCTACTTGGTTCCGCCCAGCTAATGGTGTGGTGAAGATCAATGTTGACGCCTATGTGTGTGCAGGCAGTTTAGTGGGGCTGGGGGCAATAGCGAGAGACGCGGAAGGGAAGCTCTTGGTGGTTGGAGCAAAACACATCCCCTATACAAGCCCTGTAATAGCTGATGGGCTGGTTGCTCAATATGGGTTACTCCTCGCAAGAAGGTTTGGTTTCAACATAATCCATGTGGAGAGCGATGCTACTAGCATTATACAAGGTGCTCATGGCAAGAAGAGTGGTCTTACCCCAAGCCACCTAGTATACGAGGATCTAAGGCATGATAGAGCTTTTTTTTTATGTATGTGTTTTTTCTCATGTTAGACGAGTTTGTAATATGGTTGCCCATCACATTGCTAAGTGGGATATCGGATCTAGTGATAAACTTGTTTGTAAGGGACCATTTCCTCAGAGTATTATCACTCTAGCGGAACTGGATTTAATTTAATAAAATGCTCTTGATACCTTTTCCTCAAAAAAAAAAATTTATTTGGTTTTTTTTTTAAAAATTAAAGAAAAGAGGAGAATCTAATTAAAATAAATAAATAAAAAAAAGAAAAAAAAAGGGTGGAGTTTTAATGTTTTATAGATTTCACTTTTTGCACGGTTTAGCTTGTTGCCTTGTTGCACTATAAAAAAAACGAAGTATAACCATTTGAAGTTATAAAGGAAATTGCATCCCTCTCTTTCCTCTCTCATCCCCCTCCTTTTCTATCTGTTGCCTGCTCTCCTCCCTCCATTGAAGCAGCTTCTGAGGTAAGATAGTGTTTTTTTTTTCCAAATAAAATAATCGAATATCAATGTCACAATCAAGGGTTTGTTAATGAAATTGTTAGTATAGTCAGTCAATTAAAGGTTGTTCTGGAATGTATATATTCGGTAATTATGTAATATTTGGGTGCTAAATGCTAATGTGTTACAGGTACAACCACCGGAATTATGAAAATGGGATTAATTTCCGTTGGCCGACAGCGGCCGCCCCTGTTGCCCTGGCTCAAAGACGGACCTGGTATGTTAGAGTAGCTAGCTATGTACTGCTTTTAGTTCTTGATGATATTATAATAATTAAAATTAATTTTTAGCTTGAATTGCAATTCAGATAACCAATTTGGATTTTAACTTGTGTATATACCATGTACCAGTTTAGACTACGCGAAATAATCAATTTTGGTTCATGTAGCCGACCCCACTTATGGGATTAAGACTATGATTGATTGGTTGATACTGTGTCTATCAAGCTATTTTCTGGAATAAACTACGTAGTACTATAAGCTATTTCTTGATGATATTATCACAGTTAAACTAGATTTTAAGTTGAATAGTAGTGTCACTTTTCCAAGCAGCACTGTGTTTTGTGAGAGCGAATCTTCATATTAATTTTTAAGTCAATTATTGTTCAAAATTTGCATTTGAGGTTAGCAAATTTTGGGAGTCTTACTATAAGAAATTATCATGTGTTGTGCAATTATCAAAGTGCTCTTATCTAAAATGTTATTTGCAAACTTATTTTTGTTATTTTTCTTTGGGGTTCTTTGGTTATATCTAATTCCCTGCCAAAACTTATTATGTGAAGTGCAAACTTAATGATGTCTAGAAGGTTTAAGCAGGATGTTATTGTTGGCTGTCATCGGTATCAGTTGTCCAGAGATACTTGTAATTTGAGTAAAATTTTTAATGCTTGTCCTGTCCTTTTGTTAAGTTTGAGATTATTAATGCAATGATTGCATAAATAGTTTGATTATTGAAATATCAAAAACTCACTAGTTTTCCTGTATAAAGCTTTATGCTAGTATGCTCACGAACAAATTGTCTTAGACCTTGGAATATTAGGTTCTCAGGAATATATCAATTTTCCTTTATGAAGACTTTATATCATTATGAACACTGTAGAACCTCACTATAGACTTGAAAATGCAGGAGGGTAGTATGTGTTTGGTGTTTGGGGATTAGGCTTAAAAAAAATAAACAGTAAGAGAGGATTAGGATTTTTCTAGATTCTAAATTGTCAATTCGGTTTGAATCTTAATAATTTTATGTGTATGTATGGAGGGTTGTATTTATAAGAGAAGATGGAAAATGTAGGATTATAAGGTGCATGCTGTCATGTAGTACACGTGGAAATATTTATCGCACATGCCACTCACACAAATATTTTCTACGCTTGACAGTGCAATATTGTAATTCAAAGGGTCATACTTTTCGAACTCGAAATGGGTCTTATAATATAGTCATATAATGTGTAATTTCGGCAAAGCTTAAGTTATAGGAAAAATTGCCCGCAATAATCCCACCTTTTGGCCGTCCGCCCAAAATAATCCCACCTTTTGGCCGTCCGCCCAAAATAATCCCACCTTTGGATTATTTTTAAATAATCCGACCTTTATAGCTAGTCCGCTCTCAATGGTCCCAAGTGACCTATAGCCGGTTGAGTGGGTAAACTTTTTTTTTTTTTAAAGTTTTATTTACACTGTCATAATGTGATTGGTCAAAAAATAAATTTTAATTTTAACTTTGTTTTTAAGAATTGATTATGAATAATTAACATTAATTAACTATTTAAAAAAAAAAACTAAAATATAAACCAATCACCACAGCGACCCCAGCCATCTCGCCGCCCCTACCACCGGCCCAGACCAGGCCCACATAAGCCGACCCCACCACGACCACACCGCAGACCCCGCGCGTTAATCTCCGACCCTTCCGTCGTCACCAATTCACCACAAGTCCACAACCATTACCGACATCAACGTATGCGAATTGAAGAGGAGAAGGGCCAAAATCAAGGCGTGGGAAGGAGATAAGGGATGAGATCGGGCGTGGGGAAGGTAGGTAGACGGAAAAGGGACCGGAGAAGGGGAAAGGGGCTGGAATCAAGGGTTTGCAAGGTGTTTCCGGCCACTTTTAGTTTAGGGTTTTCATGGTGGTAGGAGGGGGGTTGGTGGTTCAGGGGAGGGGGAAGGAGATCGTCGGCGCTGCAGGAGAGTTTCTGGGCGGTCAACGGCCTCAACGCAGCGGGACAGGGAGTCCGGTAGCTTGGTCGTTGGAAACGGGCTGCGGGGAGGGTGGTTCTGGCTCGTTTGGGCTTTTTCAAAATAATTAATTATTTTTTCTATTTTTTTCTGAAAAAAAAAACTTTTCTTAATTTTTAATTTTTTTTTATTTTTTTGACCAATCGCAGGCCAACGCGTGTCAAGTGACTTGTTATAACAGGTTAGTTGACCGGTTGGGACCATTGAGAGCGGACTAGCTATAAAGGTCGGATTATTTAAAAATAATCCAAAGGTGGGATTATTTTGGGCGGACGGCCAAAAGGTGGGATTATTGCGGGCAATTTTTCCTAAGTTATATCCTTTCCATTTAAATTCGATTTGGGCTTATGATATGTCCATGGAAGGCTAATTTTCATGCATATCAAAAATAATGTAGAGTCATATACTAAACCATAAGATGAAAGGCAAAACTTATTTGTAAACGAACATACTATATAATACAAATCAATGAGCATAATTTAGGTATACAGAGCATGTTTTTCATAACATGAGTCAACCCTGTAGGTTTTGAGCCCAAGATATTAATATTTGAGATTAGTTTAAACCGTTCTAGATGGCAAGTGGGTGTTTGAGCTATTGCTCCTGTAACATGCACATATTGATTCTTCAGAAAAGTGGTGTTAAGTTTCATCATGAAGCCTTTCTGATTGGGACAAAGTGCCAAAAATAGGTGTCTGCAACATTTGCTGTAGTTTAATGTGTCTGGCTTCTGGTTTTGGTGCAGTGGACTTGCTAGTATAAAGTTTTACATATCGTTCTAGCTTGAATTATCTCCCTTATAAATCAAATAATAAACCTCTATGCATTATAATATTCCAGGCTATTACATCTGTAACCTGAATAGGTTGCGGTATCCCTCTTTCTTGGCAAAGGTTAATATTGTTCACTATCCCTCAATCTTCGCAAGGGTTAAAAATGCATCTCTGAGGGCCAATAATGGGAAAGAAGAGCAAGCTATAGTTTCATTCCCTGATGGCAAAGCTTTTCAAGAAGAGGCAACAGAAGATGGTGAAAATGCAAAAGAGGAAGGTGACCTTGACAAATTAGATAATCAGAAAATGATCCGTGTTTGTGACAAGTTGATTGAAGTTTTTTTATTGGACAAACCATCTCCAACTGATTGGAGAAGGTTGTTAATTTTTAGCAAAGAATGGAGTTCTATCCGACCCCACTTTTTTCTGCGTTGTGAGGAAAGGGCAGAGAGTGATGACAACCCTGAAATGAAACACAAGCTACTTCGGCTTGGAAGGAAGCTGAGAGAGGTAAATAAAAACATGTAACTGTACAATGGGTAAATTTCTTGAGTGGGTGGCTCCTATTAAAAATTGACGTGTAAATTGGCATTGATTTTGGTTAAATGTCTAAATCTGCTACTTTTTTAGTTTTCAGTTATTGGCTTTTATCTCCTGTTTTCCTTACAAGATTCTTTTCTGGTGCTTTGTTTTGTCATTTTGATCATTCATGTAAAGTAACATACTCCATGTGGTTATGTATCAATCTTGCAGAAGTTTTTTTTTTTTTTTTTAATAGTACGAGTGTGCTTTGTTCTTTTTTCTTTCTTTTTTTTTTTCCTTGATTAAACTGTAAAATGCTCTGAAATTTTGTGTGCAGATTGATGAAGATGTCCAGAGAGCTAATGAACTTCTCGAGGTAGTGAGAGGAGCCTCAGAAAATATCAGTGAAGTAGTTGCAAGGCGTCGTAAAGACTTCACTAAGGAGTTTTTTGAGCATCTTCACACTGTTGCAGAATCTTATTATGACAATCCTGAGGAGCAAAATGGTTAGCCACTGATCTTATGTTTCATAAAACTAATCATCACCTTCCTAATCACAATTCGTTTTCTGCTACACCATTTAATTAAGTGGTGAGACTGGTGACTTATTTGAGAGTACAAGCTTTAGTTGCTATAATCTATGGAAAAATTAACAATATTGATCCGAATTACTAGTAGCCTTTTCAGAATAATCCTAGCTATTGTTTTACTAATAATAAATTTCAACTGATACTCTCTACCTTTCCCAAATTAGTCCCCCTATTGTAACCTTTAAAATAAAACTGGTTTATTTCTTTATTTTTATGTTTATTATTAAAATGCATCTCATTCTCTCGCTTTCTTCCTCCTCCCCCACCCCCACCCCCACCCCCCCGGCTCAAGGTCCACAACCACAATCATTGCCGCCAGGCGCCATCCCATTACCCACTCCTTCAGCACTTTCTAGTTCCTCTCCCTTTCTCCTCACTCAGGCACGGCTGCATTTACCACCAGCACATGGCATAATTCCCATTTCTGTTGATTGTAGAAGTGACAAGGAAGAGAATGTTAGACATTAAACTAAGGCAAGTAGACAACACAACAAGAAGGTACCACAGTTTGTTATAGCATCCATGAAGTAGCCATGGCTGGTTTATTGGTGACCTGTCTTTCCATCTATCACAAGGTCTTAGATCTCCATGAAACTCCAGTCTGATCTTTGAACTTAACTAATATTTTTCTTGTACCAATTTGCAACCATATCAGAAGTACACACATATTCTAACAAGCCTTGGATTTCAAATTGGTTAGCGTTGTGTGTACATTGTACAATCTTGTCCACGCTGTCATTGTTGCATGTAAGATTCACTCGTATGCATTTAAGCCTCTTGTCCCCATGAGGATTTTTCCTCATCTCCTTTTCTGTATCACCCTTTCACCTGCCTTCTTGTTCCATTCGTAATGAATCTAACAATATTTTTTTGTAAAAATAGCTCTGGTAGAGCTTGGGAATAGGTGCTTATCTGCAGTACAAGCTTATGATACAGCTTCTGAAAGCTTAGAGGCTATCAGTTCTGCCGAAGTGAAGTTCCAGGACATTATCAACTCTCCCTCTTTAGATGCTGCTTGCAGAAAAATAGACACCTTGGCTGCGAAGAATGAACTTGATTCCGCCCTGGTTTTGATGATAACAAAAGCTTGGTCTAGTGCCAAAGAATCAAACATGATGAAAGATGAGGTAAGATATTATTGTTTTAGAGGAAGCTTTGAATTTGGTTTGGAGAGTTGTTCAATCTGAAAATGGCCTTTTCTTTTTTCTGAGCTCAGAGCTTAATTAATCTACAATTGAGGATCACTATGTTATGATGTTTATAATTTTTCTGCTATGACAAGGCTTGAAGCTCCATCAATTTGTTACTCGATGTGCATGATGAATTGTCTAATTTCTAAAGCTAGAATGTTGAACAGTGCATCAGCACATAGATACCCATAGTGAAGTGATTTGTCAATGCTACAAAGTTGTGTAAGTCCTTGTAGCTTGTTTGATATCCATTCGTTTTCTTTTATAGTTTATTCAAGAGAAAGGGATGTGAGAGGAGAGTAATTTAAAGGTAGGAGTGGGGACCATAAGACGAGAGATATATCTAGTAAACTTAAAATGAATTTGGCCACTTTAGGGAAGTGGTGCCCTTGAAAAGAGGAGGGTTTTATTAAATTCTCAATTCTGTTTATTTTTGTTGTAGGATGTGCTATGGTCAATGCATTAAGGACACACCCTTTCACTGGGGCAAGGAGAAGACCTTAGTCTAAACCACTTGGGGAAGTTCTCTGAAGATGCATATAGTACCCTTGTGGCCTTGTCTCCAACTTTGATATAAATGTACTTCATGGAAGCTAACAATATAAGTTATGTCTGGAGAGTTTATGCTTGTCCTATTACTTGATTAAATCAGAGATGAAAGTTCCAGTTTAGTAAAATAGACCATGCGCATGCTGATGGCTGATCACACTAGTTGACATTTTTATGGTAGATGAAAACCATACTATTTGCTAGAAAATGAATTTAAATCTATTTTTTTCTACGGGATGTATTCCTTCATGCACTAGATAATTTTTTTTTTTTTTTTTTTTTCCTTCTCTAGGTGAAGGATGTGTTATATCATTTGTACAAGACGGCAAGAGGTAATCTTCAGAGGCTAATGCCAAAGGAGATCAGGATTGTGAAATATCTTCTGACAATTGAGGATCCTGAGGAGAAACTTTCTGCTCTACAAGATGCATTTACTCCTGGAGAAGAGCTTGAAGGGACAGACGTTGATAACTTGTACACGTAAAGTATATCTGTGACCAATCTCATTAAAATTTCCCTTTCCCTATTCTTAAACTTTATGTTAGGGTTGCCTTTGGATAGTTACCTTCCTCACTTTAAGGCGTTTCATTGCTGTTTGTGTGAAATGTTCAGGACACCAGAGAAACTACATACTTGGATAAAAGCTGTGGTGGACGCATATTATTTCAGCCAAGAAGGAACATTAATTAGGGAGGCAAGGGATTTGATGAATCCGAACATTATCCAGAAGTTGGAAGAACTAAACAAAATTGTTCAGGATAGGTTTTTGTAAGTAGATTAAAATGTAGCTCAAACACTGTCCAAGATTGCATCTCATTAACAATGTGTGTCCATATCCTAAGCAGCTCTATCTCTTTTGATTCTATCCCATCCACAACGAAAGAAAAAAGAAATGTAATTACTCATGACTGTACTAATATAATTTCGTCTCCCCTATTGGAGTTCATTAGTTTAGTACTCCGTATCCTTTTATATTGGTTATCTCATTTTGTAAGATAAATTAAGTGCATTTGGTTCTGTATAGTTTATGAATTATAGTCACTAGATTTGGTAGTTTGTCCCTTGATGGCATCTATCTGCCAACCAAAACTTCGTATGTTCTCGGTTGTCTGTACTATCTTTGGCTTGCTCCTTAAAGATCTTTTATACTACCTCTCTTAACTACTACCGGATGTCACTACCTCTCGTAGTAGTACTCTTATTACATTACCTCTCTTAACTACTACCGGATGTCACTGCTACTAACTACTACCAACTTTAACTAACCTAGTACTAACTACTACCGAATGTCACTACTACTAAATACTACTGCGGCTCGCTACTCCTACTACAGTACTACCACCGGTGATACTGCTACTATTACTGCTACTGTTGTTGCTATTCCTACTGCAACTACTTCTATTACTGCTGCTACTACTATTGCTACAATTGTTGCTGGTGTTGATACTACACGTGCTACTGCTACTACTACTATTATCGCTATTCGCTACTACTGATAAAAACTTAGTTTTACTAAATACTCCGTATCTATTTTATCTAGCATTTATATTATCAAATTTTTACTAATTATAACTTTTTTTTGATGAATTGATCTTATTTTTGCTAAAATCTGAATAATATTAGAGTAAGGTGAAGAGAAAAAGAACAATTCAAGAAAAGGATGATAACACACAAGATATAGAGGCCAAGCCCTTATAATGTTACTTCGTATAACCTATACTCCATAAGTATATAATAAACGACTACTCCCTACATACTTTTTTGCTTTACCTTCTATTCACTTTTCATTTTAGGTCGTTCTTTTAAATTCTACCCACTTTACTTTATTCTATTTATGGCATACCCCCTTTATTATAATTTACAATCTTAGACCTTGTTTGGTTGGCTAAATATTTTGTGGGAAGTCAAAATTCCCATGAATTTTATTTTCACCCTCTTGTTTAGTTGACACAAAAAAGTGAAAATGGGGGCAACACAAATTCATAGAAATTTTGACCTCCCACAAAACATGGGAATTCACTTACCTTACCCCCTTGGTAAGTTGAAATTCCTATAGGAATTTACTTCCTCCATTCTTAACCAAACCAATTTGTTGAATTCCCATGATTTTGATGATGGAATTTATTTCCCACAAATTGAAATTCATGGGCACTTCCCTAACGAACTAAACGATCCCTTACTCTTTCAACCCCATATTAATTCACCATTTCATACTCCCCTTTTAATTTTATTCAGTTTTTTCTTACACAAACCATCCTTTTTTAGATTCTATCCCTTTCTTTATCTCACACCCACTCATATTCTTTAACAATGTCTTAAATTGTGCATCATATATAGTGATAAAATATGCAAGAACGAAAGTAGTAAGAAGCTCACTTTCTATACTAATACATATTGTTTCGGGTGAAAACAATGGGACCTTGCCGAAGGTCCGCTGAAATGGAGAAGGCTGGATTCGGTCCAAGTTATGTTGGGCCCAAGGTTTCCTGCACAGTAAACACACGTAAACTAGCCTCGGGGGTGTTGCCGAGGAAGGCCCCTCCGATGCTAAAGTCAGTACAATGTGTAAGAAGAGGACACTATGCAAGAGAGTTTGTTGCTTGAGGCTTTTATGGAATATATCAGAATATATGAATGAACATATGAATCTATGAATGAATCAGAATCAATCCCTCATGAATGTATCAATATGATGGCTTTTATACCTCATCATACATGGAGAGGTTGGGCCTTAGCCCAATTGGTTTGCTTTGTGGGCTGACCTTTGACTTTAGCACAATTGGAGAGTTGAACCTTGACCTTGGGCTTTTAATTGGATCATTTAGTGCTTAGGCCCAATTGGACTAAATTGGACCCAAACAACTTGCCCCCCAGACCCGATTTGGAAGGATGACGGGTCGGGTTTGATTTAATTCAGAAAAGGAGGGAAGTAAATGATTTAATTAATCCAAAAATTTGAATTTAAACCGTAATTAATGAGATAACAACGGTTAAGGCAGATGATTGTGGAAGTTGGACGGATAATGGGCAGTTTAATCACAAGATCATGTGTTTAACGGTTACTTAGTGGAGTATTTAAGAGAAATTAAAACGCAGACTCCTCGTATCCCATACCTGGAGATATAAACAGAGGCGCGTCATCTCTCCTCACTTATTCACCAACACAAACCCAGAATTCTCGAGAGAGAAACCAAGAACCCGCATCAAAACTTCGCAAATTCCCCGAGCATTAAGCTTAGAAACTGAGACTTGCCACTACGAACTCGTAAATCGGCAACTTTCGCTTCAGATTAAGGTAAATTCCTTTGATTTCAGTTTATTTTTCTTCGAATTCGAACTCCTTCCCCTTTTCTTTCGACTTTTTTCTTCGAAATAATCAATGGCAAGAGGAGTTAGAGGTAGAGCCCGTGCTCCAAGAAGAGCAAGGCCGATTCCCGATCCTAGGAACAGGATTGGGACCTGGAATGGACAAAGGCCAGAGTCTGACCCTGCTGAAGGGATTAGGGCGACTCCCCTTTCCTCGGCTCCTCCTCAGAGAACGGAGGAGCCGAGCGCTTCTGGACGGGATGATGAAGTTCCCGCTGTCCTTTGGGATATCCTCCCCGGGTTTTCAGAATGGGAGAATGCCAAAGTTGCTTCGGCCATGATAAAGAACCACCCCTACCCATGGTGGGTGGAGAATGCCGATCAATATCGATTTGCCGAGCAAATTGAGTTGCATTACGGCATTTTTGAAGCTGATGGGTATTGGTGTCGAATGCCCTCGGCATCCGATAGAATCCATCGTCCACCCCCGGGGTATGTGGGGGTGTACACAAGACAGCTTCAGTACGGGCTGAGGTTCCCTTTGGACGTATTCGTCCGAGACTTGCTGATCCATTACAACATCTCTCTATGTCAGTTAACTCCCACCAGCATCCGAAGGGTGATGACATACTTATGGGTCTGCAAGTTCTTCAAGTATGTGCCGAACCTGCACTGCTTCAAAAAAGCTCCATCGGCTAGTGCCAAATATTCAAAGTGGGCACGGAAGCCATGGTTCTGGGTGGTACTGGATTGAGTCCCGGCCCCAATACCTAACCATGTGGCCAAACGACTCTTCAGACAAGGACTGGAGAGGTCAATGGATTTGGGTTAGGGCACCCACAGATCCGGGCCACCCTTGCGTCTTCAGCGCTCCCCGGTACCTCGCTGAGCCTGATCCCGAAATGGGAAGTCTAGGTCCCCTCGCAGATAACGGGGTGGATCCGAACCTTGATCAGCAACATATCTTCGGCAAGCTGCCGAACCGGGGGGGCAGTGGCCGAATGCAGCATATCCCGGAGACTTGGCTCCCCGATACGCATTACGTTTTCCAAGAGAACATGCTAGCAGCTGTTGGCCTCAGCCGAAAGTTTAAGGATGGTAAGCTTCTTCGGCTGGGGCCGAGGCTTTTTAACTATCTCTTTTTCTTCTCTCGCTTCGCTTTTTCATGCTGTGCCAACCTATCTGAATTAACCTTTCCCCTTTCCTTTTTCAGAGCGGGACGAGACCAACGTTGGCATTAACTACGCTCGTCTTGGTGTCAACCGAGAACGAGTTGTAACTGAACGGGCCCCGTCTATCACTGAGCCGAGGCATAGGGAAGTTCATCTAGACTCTTCCCACTTCCAAATTGAGGTTGTTGCTCTGTATCAGAGGCAGAAGCCTTGGTGGAAGAAGAGAGACCCCTGGTTTCAGCTGCTGGACAAAGAAGCTGAAGCTGCCCGTACAGCCGAAGAGGTTGCACGGGTTCTCGAAGCTTGCGAAGGAGGAGAAGGGTCCTCCAGAGCTGCTGAAGCAGAAGCTGCAGCTAGAGCAGCTGAAGAAGACGAGGCTTTGCTGAAGACCTCGGTGAGTTTTCAGACAACTTTGTCTTTCTTTTTTCTTTCTTTTTTTTTTTTTTACTCACATTCTTCCTCCCCCCTGTCTGTTACAGTTTGAAGAGAGTAACAGACATAGAGAAGGGAAAGCTCCTGTTCGTCCCGAAGACCAAATACAAAGAGAGTCTTCAGACTCAGATATGGACGAGCAGCCCCTTCTGAAAAGGCGCCGAAGGATGGCCATCATCGGCCCTCATGACTTTCAGCGGAGGCCGATGACCATCGGCGTTGCAATAAGGGAACCCGAGGAAGGCAATGGATCGCCGAGGGTTCCCCGGCCACCACCCCAATCACCTCAAAAGACCCCTCCGCCACCTCCTGAGATGGAGGTGGATCAGAGAACTCCCGAATCTAAGGGAGCGGTCCAAGAAGAAATTAAGGCGAGTGCTGCTGAGCACGAAAACAAGGATGTCGTGATGTCCAGTGCTGAGGGCTTCACGGCAGACATCGCAAGAGAGGTTGAGGCTTTCGTCCTCACCCCTGAAGAAGAGGAGGTCATAGTAATTGACTCCTCTGAGAAGGATGATGCTGAGCCATCCAAAGCTAATCAAGCTCCATCGTCATCCTTCCCTTCCTTCCAGACTCTGCAATCTGGAGAAATGGGTTTCTCGGCCCCCCGAATTCCAATCCCAGACCACATCTGGGACCTCATATGGGGTCAGAACCGAGAAGGAGCTGCAGCCTACTTCGGCGATTTTGCTGGCATGTCCGAAGTAGATAGGGCAAGGATCTGGTCGCTGAAGGCCACTGCTGGGATGGGCGAATCCAGCAGATCAGTTCCTGACCCAGCCAGGTCTAACCAACTGCTGATGATGCAGGTAATTTTCCTTGCCTTCATTTCCTCTGAAATTCAGCTCTATTTTTTTTTTTATTTATTATTATATTATTTTTTTTTGTCTTCCTGTTTTCAGTTCGTACACAATCAGACTCTCACTGTAGAGCTGATAGATACCCTACAAGATAGGGTAGACGCTGCTGTGCACGACAAGAAGGTAGCTGAAGAGGAATTAAAGCTTGCTAAGCTGAAGCAAGCAGCAGCTGAAGAGAAGCAGCAGAAGGGTGAGGAGTATGAGAAAAGAGCTGCTGAAGCCCTCAAAACCTTCTGCGACGCTATGGAGAAGG